AACAGCTATGAATTGCGTCAGTGTCTTCAATCCTTTGTGTTGTTCCATCTGTGCCATTCATGTTGGTTGTTTCATTTTCAGAAACGAGGTCAATCATTCAAAAGTTTCATGAAGAAATTGAGACTTGTAAGAGGTCATCTCTTACGAAATGGGTTTTCGAGAAATGGGATAGTAAGTAAGCTTAATGAACACTTGAAGCTGACAGTTCGCCTTGAGCTGTGATCCGACCAGTTGTCTGTGGATATAACGACTTCGGGATTTCTACATACTTCTTCAGTGCGCTTTTCTAATCACAAACAGTGAATGCTTGTACAGATTAGTTAGACTGTTCTTAGCTTCCTTCTGATGTACTCCTACTCCAATGTCTTCTCGACCAACATAGTTGATTGGTTCTTGCAATTCGCAAGTAATAAAGGTTAAGGATAATTTTGTGTTCTTACTCCTCAACAGAATATTTATTAGTGTTAATTCTTCACGTCTTCTGACAATTACATCTGTTCTTCTTATCACCTCTTCATTGTGTCATTTTGTCGTTATTAATCTCCTCTCTGTCTGTGGTTCCGAAGCCAGCTAGTTAAGTCGATGGGTTCACGCAACAGGTTCTGCTATGTTTCAGCCAACAATGTTGTCAATATTCTTCTTAGTGTGATGTTACTGCATTGAAATGTTGACATTCAGTCTATTCATATGAGTTTGTTGCCAAATGTTGTTTTAGGATTATGGACCAAAAGTGAATTTCAAACGACAGAAGGTGCAGATCGGAGGATTTGATGGTCTGCCAGCATATTCTAGGTTCCTCATAACACGTTACAATGATTTGATTAAAGAAAGCAAATCTCTTCGCCCTGAATTTCTCCCAGTGGAGTTGTGCAACCTGGAGTACAAATCAGATCGTGGAGCTTGTATTGTACCGCACTATGATGATTCATGGTTGTGGGGTGATCGATTGGTGACTGTCAATTTGAGTGGTGCCACTTATTTAACTTTCACATTACCGACAGCTGACGTGGTGGATGGCATAAACCACGAATTTCAACGTGTTCAATCGTGTGTGCCGAATGTTTCTCGGGGCTCAGTAAGTCTACTGTGTTTTCAATAGTACCTCCAAACTGGATTATTTGTGGCCTCCTTAATTAGTACTCTGTGATGTTATTTTGTAATGTAAAGATGTACTGATAGGGATTCATCTGTGCCTGAGTCTTGTGTTCAGACGTGTACTAAAGAAGATGAAATTCATGTTTTGCTGTTCTGTGTGTTTGTCTACGAAGATTCGTAACTCAGATATCACACCAGCAGTGGTTTCAACTTCCAAACAACGCACAAAATAAACTTTAACATAGCTATAATTATTAGTTTGGAAAATACGACGTGACCTGTTGTTTGAACGGTTATCGTGATGTCTTTTTCTTTTACATACGTTTAACGCTTATTATTTTGAATAATAAGTTGACCGTAGTAAATTGAATATTCCACTTATGGGAAATTTATATTACAAGGCTTTGATCTGCATACATATTTAGAGTATTTAAACATTGGAATTTCAGATCTATTTAAGATCAAGATTTTCGACAATTTATCCTGATATTGGATGTCTTGTAATGCAGTTCTAATAGTTTTATCCTTCATAATAATTTTCCGAAAAAATAAAGGGCTGATTAGTAAATTCCAAAATCTCATGGCTTGTTTTATTATTGAAATATCACAAAGAAAACTGCTTAACAAAGCTATATCAAGAGCCTTCACTTGGTGTTGGTTATTTGTGTATTCCCTGTTTTTGCTTAGGACTGCAACTGGTCAGTCACCTATCGGCAATTGTGAATCCTGTGCGGATCACATCGATGTCATGAGTCACAAGCTTTATTGGCAAAGATTGATGGTGGCTAGCAGTGGAATTCAGGAGTCGCGTTTCGCCCTATTTGAGACTCTTCAGCTGGATGTGAATGCATCTTAGAGCTGACGTTCACTCTGAGAATCGGACCCCGCACCTTTCCCTTCAAACGCCATCGCCTTATCTACTTAGTCCTTGAGATAATATCGAGGCAATCCACACAGGGTGCACAAATGCCAACAAGAGACTGATCAATTGCAGTCTTAAACAACGATTGGAAGATGAAAACAAACAACACCACGTGAATATAAACCTCACCCCATTACACAAGCAGGTGGATATCAGGACTCAATAGCTAAGTGAATTAAGCGAACGGTAATGGATTCGAGTCCCAGAATTAGGATTAACTCTGAGACGCAGGTACATTCATCTGATAGATCTTAAATAAGAAGAAACGCGAATCTTGGATTCTACTGATAGACACCATCCATCCTTTTTTATAAAGTCATACTCATTAGTTGAAAAAATACGTTACGCAGTCTCAATACTTGGTCCCAAAGTGGTCGATGTCTAATCCTAGGGGATTTTAATGCACCTATGGTAGACTGGGAAAATCTGCGAACTAAATCGTCGGAGAATTCTTTCGAGCAGGAACTAGTTGATGGGATTATCACATGTGCTCTAGTGCAACATGTGAAAGAAGCGACAAGGTACGATCCGGACACTGAATCATCCTTATTAGATCTTATACTGACTCACTATTTGGATGATGTTGCGAACCTCCACCATATGCCACCCTTAGGTAAAGGTGACCACGCCGTTTTAACTTTCGACTTCCATATAACTGCCAGTCATGAGGACGCGTCAGTCCAGTCCAGACCCAACGTCTGGAAAGCAAACATAACAGACATCATGCACTCAGCATCGTTAATAGATTGGACAATAGACCCAGAGTCCTCCAATGAAACGGCCTGGGACGCATTTCGAAATTCATACTTAAAAGTTACCGCACCTCACATCCCTTGGACTATACCAAAGGGGCCGAAGAACTCCCCACCATGATTCAGTAGGGAGGTCCGTATCCTTCTCCGTAAGAAAAGGAAAACGTGGGATAGATTTAGGTTGCTGGGGACTGATGAGTCAAAATCTCAGTATCGAAAGGCTCGGAACACTTGTGCCTCGACCCTCCGTAAGTCTAGAAAATTGTACGAAAAAAAACTTGTTAAGGAATCCATAGAATGTCCTAGACGCTTGTATTCCTATATAAACCAAAGGACAAGGAGAAAAGGAAATATTCCTGCTCTATGGGGAGACAGTACTGCTTCATCATTAGTGGAGGACGACTTTGGTAAGGCTCAAGCGTTCTCGAACTACTTTAGCAACGTGTATACCATAGAAGCGCCCTTCTCGTCAGCGTATACAGATCCCCCCATACATACACTGGATAGCGTGACCATTAAAGAACTCGATGTCTTCGGTCTGCTAAATAAGCTTGACATAGGTAAATCCACGGGGCCCGATGAATTACGTCCTAGGCTACTGAAGGAATTATCTAACTTCGTTGCGAACCCTTTAAGTACATGCTTTAACCTATCCGTTACGCGGGGTCGCTTACCGAAAGATTGGAAAAACGCCATAGTAAGTCCTGTCTTCAAAACAGGCACGAAACACAAACCTGAGAACTACCGCCCCGTTAGCCTAACTAGTGTGGTTGTTAAAATATTAGAAAAGACTATTCGGAAGGAGTTGTTTAAGTATCTCGATAAAAACCGGATCCTCTCGGAGAAGCAGCATGGCTTCAGAATAGGTTATTCTTGCCTCACTAACTTATTAGTGGCTCGTGAAAGCTGGTGTGCTCTCAAGGACCAAAAGCTACCTGTAGACGTCGCCTTCATTGATTTCAGTAAAGCTTTTGATAAAGTTCCGCACAACCGGCTGTTATATAAGTTAAGAAATGTCGGGATTGGAGGTAATTTATTGATGTGGATAAAAGACTTCTTAGTTGGGCGTCAACAAAGAGTAAGGGTGAACTCCAAGTTGTCTAGCTGGGAAACTGTGCTTAGTGGAGTGCCCCAGGGTACAGTTTTGGGGCCAGTGCTATTCCTTCTGTATGTAAATGACCTTCCTCATCTCCTATGATCATCGGTCTTGCTATATGCTGACGATGTCAAGATATGGAGAACGATACGATGTAAGAGTGATAGCTTAGAACTTCAAAATGACCTGAAGAAGTTATCTGAATGGTCTCAAACATGGCAGTTGCCGATAAATACTTCCAAGTGTGTTGTGATGCATATCGGTCATCAAGGCACAGATACATACACGATGAATAACACTGAGCTACCTGTCGTCCAGACATATAATGACTTAGGAGTTATCGTTAGTCAAGACCTAAAGACTACTGCACACTGCCGTGCAATAGCCGCCAAAAGTTTTAGAACGTTATGGTCAATACGTAGGGCTTTTAGTCATGTCGACGCTAAGACGTTTTTGACTTTGTATACAGTGTTCGTTCGTCCTAAACTTGAGTACTGCATACAAGCGGCTAGCCTCTGCTTTAAAAAAGACAGTGAGCTTCTGGAAAAGGTTCAGAGAACGGCGACTAAGCTGGTTCCCGGAATAGCGAAGCTTCCGTATGAATCTCGACTGGCCAAGCTGAACCTTTTCCCGTTGTCATATCGCAGAACTAGAGGCGACTTGATTACAGCCTACAAATTGCTTAGTGATAAATTTGCACCTAACATGCCCTCATTTTTCTTGTCTTCCAAAACAGGGAATTTATGAGGACACTCCAAAAAAGTTCATAAGCCGAGAACAAATTACTTGTCAGCTGACTATCGACTTTCCCATCGAATCATCAACGAGTGGAATTCACTACCTCAGCACGTGGTTGAGGCTCCATCCGTCGACTCTTTCAAAAGAAAGTTGGATCAACTGAGAGACCACCATTGCCAGGACTAACATAGGCCATCGAGCCTCCTGTCCTTCCCAAACTGAAACTGAAAACTGAAACTAACCTGCTGTTTGAACGGTCATAATGACGTCTATTTTTTATTTGTTTACTTCTTTTCTGAAAGCCGTCTTTTGTCAAGCTTCATTAAGTAAATTATCCGAACAGAGCTAACTTGTCCTCAAGGAATAAACTTTTTGTTTTGCAGGAAACATTATATGTTTTCAAGGTTGAGTTGGTCGGAGCGGCCTCTCAGAGGCTATATCCACGTTCAGTTGTGTAAACGGACTGAGCATTTCTTTGGTTCGTTTAGAATGCTGGGTTATAATAACTCTTCAGATTTTCAGAGTAGTTTTATCATCATTTTTATTTCTTCTTAGAGATCGGCCTAGGTTTGCTTGCTTTTGGAGTGGGTTTTCTTTGTCTTGGTGTTCTATTTTTCTTCGACGGTGCTCTATTGGCTCTAGGTAATGTAAGTGTTCGATAAAATTCTAGACTGCTCCTTCAAGGTTCTTTTCTTAGGCGGAATAGGATGTCTTATTGGATTGCAGAAGGCTTGCACATTCTTTTTTCGCCGTACGAGTTTGAAAGGAGCAGTTTTCTTCTTCGGGGGCATATCCGTTGTCCTCTTTGGCTTCCCTTTCATAGGAATGCTGTTGGAAATTTATGGAATGATAAATTTATTCAGGTAATAGTGCGGGAAATAATCTCGAAGTTGTGAGTTTTGCTCGTTTTTTATTACGATCGACAATTAGATTTTGCAATGAACAAATTTTTGATCAAAAACTTATTTTATAGCTGGTGGTGCTTGTTAGCTTTATATTTAAGCTTAAACACGTATAAAGATTCAATCTAATAAAGCCATCTAAATCTTAGATTCCTTAAATTATTTAGTCATTTCTTGTTTGGTTGCAAGATTTAGGGAAATCAAACACCTAACGTTACTCCTAATCTGTTTGACATAATAGAGAGTGTCTAAGTGACGTTAGTTGGCGAAAGCCATAGGCGTATTATTATTTTCAACTTTCTACTATTCATTAATTTTGTTACTTTCTATTGTCATTGACTGAACCTCGCATTCAGGTCGCTTAGTATGTTTATGTGCTTTGAAAAATTGCTTTCGAGTTTCGGGCTGTTTAGATGGAGAAAAGTCGTGGAACTATGATGAACTCTTGCTATTATGTAACTAATCCTGTTCACCTAATTCAGACTACAAAACGGGTCAAATATATATAAGCATTATTAGTCGTTGAGCCGTGGCAGTTAAAGCTGAAGCATTTGTGCAAAGCTCTACTTTTGTTAGAGAGGTTAAATCACTGTCATGTCAGTGGATTAATGCGTTTTCTATTCAATATTAGAATTCACGAAAGCCACCTCAGATATTGAGGTTAACATGACTAAGCTGTTAATCTGCTGATAGACGGACATTGTTAAGTTACCCCATAGAAGTCTATACAAACACAGTAAGTTTCCATCGGTAAAACTGTTAGAATCATTTGTTCAGAGTGAAATCTTCGGTCTCACAGATTACAAGCTACACTCAATATCCTTATCAGCCCTACCAATATGATCAAAATCCTCTGGAGCCAATTCATTATACCCTGCTTATTCCTCTTGCCTAAGATTAGGTAATGGCTTTTTCCCTTCGTTAAGTGTTAAACCCTTTATGTAGATCTCACGTATAGACTGTTAATGACTGATGGTCAACTGATAGTTAGTCAAACTTTCCCCCTACTTATTTTGGCCCTCATCCTAGTCATATGGTCTGAATAAATCACGGTTTCATCTCATTTCATGATACTTAAACTTTTCGTCAACCTTCTGATCTTTGTCTCTGAGGTGTCGCGTCAACTGTCTAGTTTCGTTTTTCGCTGCTCTTTTCTATTTGGTTATATTCCCTACCGCTTCTCTCGTTCACTGACCTGGCGTTTTGTTAATTTTTGTCAGTTGTTTAGATGGGTTTCCAAACATATTTACTAGAGACTACTGGAGTTTATCTTTCCCCAACCTTTTGATTTAGATCGCTAGCAAATCTCAATGCTGTTCATACAACTGTTTTGAGATCATGTCGGGTTTCTTAAGGGTAACCATCCTTTTCATGCTACTTTAAGTGCTTAGTTAGTTTTCTCAGGCATGTCCTTGAAATTCCTGCCTTCAAACTGAGTTTGCTGGGGTTCTCCTTATGCGATATTTCTGCGTTCATTAAAGCATAAATTTGTCCCCAATAGACGATGAGCGAGGTCCAAACACGCGTTTTAAGACAAAAAGTCTTCTATCAAAACTCCATCACTAGTTGATCGTAGTGATTATTCTGTCTACCATTGCATTGATGACAGGAGTCGCCAGCCTTTTAGCTTGACTTAACATTCTTACTTGGGCTCTGAAACTACTCCTTACAATTGCTACGTCTAGGCATCTGGCTTTTAGAAGTTTGAAAAGATTTTAATAGCACTCACCTTTTATTTTATTGGAGATACTTTCAGTGAGAGGCCAAGCAATCACTACAAAGAGGTAACTGCACATATCCTTACCGTCCTGAGTTCTTACTATCGACGAATCCAGTCGAAAAGTGTCCATTCTACTTTCTAATATGTCGCTACATCTGTACCCATTAGAATATGAGGTAATGTCGAATATTCAAGTACATAGAGTGAGTCTCACTGATTCTACATGTTAGCTAGGTTCCTGTATGATTAATGAAGCCTGTTATCCAATATGAGACACTCTGACCGTTGGAAGCCCTAATATGTAGTATAGGGCCTTTTCTTAGGAGACCAAGGATAACATTTTATATATTCGACTAATTGACTTTGATCGTGTTCGCGTAAGCAAATGAAACTGAAGGAAAAAGGGATAATAACAAATAAACCAAATATTTAGGGGTTGAGAATGATTTTACGGTGAGCAGTAAAGACTTGCTTTCGAGTACTTTTCACATCCTAGTAACCGTCATTAACAAAGGATATAGTATTTGTAATACTGAGAAAGGATCGAATTGATATTGCTTTTAATGTCTTCCTAAGAGCGTGACCACACAGTCCGAGGAGTAACTGTTGGAGGTTCACACAGTGTTTTTGTGAGTAATTTTCGTTGTGCTCTCCGGGATTTTCTCAAGCATTATAGTCACCAAAAGATATTGTGCTATCTAGATCCTAGCTAGCACTTATTACTTTTCTTTCCTGCTTATCTGTTGTCAGTCAACTTCTTTGTACCAAGTGTTAATACAATACTAACCGTAACATACTAAGTTGTTTATGTCAAATGATGATCATATGCACTTTAATTTCATAGTAAATTTATCCCAGTGGCAATCAAATTTTTGTATGGTGTTCCTGTAATCGGTTGGATCTTATGGCTTCCCGGGATTAACGGAGTAAGTCTACGTTTAGAAGTAGCATAATATTTTCCATTTTCAGCTGACTAGTTGAAGTTTGACTAAAAATCGAAAACTACTAGATAGGCTCTTTGTCCAAACTTAATATTTTTTTTCTTAATAGATTGCTAAACCTAGCAGCTTCGGAATATGATGTGTACTTAACTATTTAGTCATTAACCTGGGCTTCTCTAACGAGCAGTTCAAAATCATGTCACACTGAAACTATCCATTTTGTCTCATCATTGTCAGTTGACAACTATTATTATTCTATACTTCATCTACATCTATTAATATGGCTGTTATCGACAATTAGACTGAGACATCTTAACAGTGGAGACTATCTAGTCGGGGTCCACGTGACTATCGTAATCGATGGTAAGAGACTAGGTGACATCTCTCAGGACTGTTTGCAAAGACGGAAGTGCACTCACTCCTTGTCTTTCTCTAGAATCTGAGTCCTGAAATCTCCTCGTACATATTCTTTCCTTTTTGTATGTCCAATCCCTTTTACCAGTCCCAGGTTCGAGAAATAATCCAAAATGTGAATGTTGCTGTAATGAAATTCTGAACATATGTCCAAGCCACCGAAGCAGGTGCTTCAAAGTAGTAACATCAATTGAGTTATCGTCACGGTGCGCGACACGCACATCACTGAACCTCAGCATTACTGACATGGGGTTGGCGTCTGGTATGAATAATTTTTCGGATGTAATGTTGATTAGAAGTAGGGAGACAATGAACATTCTCAACTCAAAGTCATGTTTCACTGACGCGTTGCCAACCTGACTTTTTACAGCCAGACTAACATCAAGATGACACTATTCTATCTAGGTCGATCTCATCTGTCATATCACCACCACAACAACCAAGGTACACATATATTTGATTACTTCTAACGGGTCATCACGAAGAATGAGTTTAGAAACAGGGTCCTGACAGTCTTAAGAAAGTAATTTTCAGTTAGAAGATGCAAAATACCTGTGTAAAACACGTTAATAGGCAGGAAGAATGTATTTTTAATGTGAGAAGTTACAAAGCATTTGCACAATATATATACCTAGCCTTTAATCATCCATTTGCATCTTTCGGTGTGTTCTGCCTAGGCTGTGCTTTCAATGCACTGAAACTTCACATCGTTGAAATCGCGATCTAATAAATCTAAATATTGATAAAATGGTTTGAACACACATACCTTCCAGTGACTTCTATGCGGAGCGTTATTTGTTGGATCTCGTATTTAGTGAGGAACAAACAATCATTCCGTGATGTATTTCTGCTGACCCACGGATATCTCTGTTGGGTAAAGATCCATTAGCATACTGCGGTCCGTTTAATTAGCTTCTGACATTACTAGATATGTCTCAAAATGGGAACTGTTCAATAGTTCACTGTTGTTTAGCAATGTATCTGAAAATTGCCATTTCTTTTTGCATGAGACACGTGTCGTACTATTTTTGTTTTAAATAAGTGAGTGCTTTGCTTCGGTCCGTGCGTACTATTTCTAATCTATTTTATCACCCTTGATTTACTCCCATATACTTTGTATTTCCACAAAATATTAATACTTTGTAGTTTGTACGCAGACTCAGTCAATCGAATTCAATGGTATGATTCATGCAAGATGGAACTTCATGTAGATTATGTTTACCTTATTGATGGAACAATATAATAATGTCGTGAAAACAGGTTTAACTCTCTTTGTACATGTTTTAACTTAACGTTGAAAATATGTAAACAATTTCCACGCTTTCTATACTGTATATGTCTTTAAGTCGTGTTTTTTTTCGAAGAAAAAGCTGTTATACGTACAACCATTTAAAAGTGATCCTATTTATCCTTTCAGATGTTTATCTCCATACTTCTAATATTGTGTACTATGTGATTGAAATTTTGTCCTACATCAATCCGTTTCGTTTTCACTATTTAAATTAGTATTTGAAGTAATAAGTTTTAAGTTAATGTTGATTAATAAACTAACATTTTCTCTAATGATTTATGACACTTGTAATTAAGTATCGTTGTTAACTAGTTAATAATAGAGATATTAGTGGTTGTGCCTACGACGCGCAATACTGACTGGTGTTGAGTATGGTTGGGAGAAAGTTAAGGGCGGCCAAACCGAAACGTGGCACCAGTCCTCGAAGTCACTAACTTCTACTCTTAGCCATGTTGGTAGGTGCAGACTACTTGGTTGGGGTCGGCGTGACTATTGTAACCAATGATTGGAGACTGTGTGACATGGCTCAGAATCGATCACAATGACGTAGGTGTATATACTCTTTGTCTTCCTTTAAACCATGAGATTAAAATCGCTTTATACCTTTCTTTGTACGAACTAATTCTTTCTTTCTATACCATATCCTTATATGCAATCTTTCTTTTATACACTGACCACCTCTCCGCTTCTTCCAACCAGTCCCAGAGTCGGCAAATAATGCACGACGTGGAATTCTCTGGGACGACATTCGGAGAACATGGCCAAGCCACCGAAGTCGGTGTTTCAAGGTGGTGACATCGATTGCATTATCGTCTCTGTGCCCGAACACACGATGCCGAACCTCTGCATTACTGACATGGTGTTGCCACTGGATGTCAGCAATCCTTCGGAGACAACGATGACCGAACACAGAGAGTCGTCTAACATCCTCAACTCGGAGAGGCCAGGTTTCACAAGTGTAGAGCAAAACTGCTCTCACCGACGCGTTGTAGATCCGACCTTTTACAGCCAGACTAACATCACGAAGGCACCAAAGGTGGCCCAGATTGGCATAAGCCTCTCTGGCTTTAATTATACGTGAACTGATTTCGTCATTCACGCCACCACCAGCTACCTAGATACACAACATTCTCGACTACTTCTCTTTGCTCACCATCTAGGGTGAGTACAGGATTAGAATCTTGCCAGACTTGTAGAAATACTTAGCACTTCGAAGGTGCAAAGCACATACCATACCTACGGACACTGATTGCCAACTGAATAAAAGTGAAAATGATTCTACTCTGATGTATTATTCACTTGTCTTAATGATTAAAAAATAATTAGACTTTTCTGTAGGCTGCTGTAAAATAGGTATTTGTGAATTATTAGATGTGTACGCATAAAACTATATCAGGAATTCATATAAAAATGATGATATTCATGCCTTTTCACCGGTTAATATAATGCTAAAATCATGCATGTATATAGAAATAACTAACCGTCATTAATTTAGAAATAAATAAATAAAAAAACCTTTTCATAAACGCTTTATACAACCACTAGCGTATCACCTTAACGTACAAGGACTGATTCACTATCTTTGGTTTGATAAAACACTATAACTTCTTTTGAAGAGGAGACAGTAGTGAGACCTTGATGTTCAGATGGAACATTAGTAGTACTAAGAATGAATATGAAAGACAAATATTTTACATTTTATGGTAAGTTCATAACTGTTCGTAATACATAAATCTTAATTTACTGTAAAGTGACAATTAACCAATCTTTTATTAATGTAGATATTTGATAATCTTTCAAATAATTTACCTTTGAAGGAGTTTAAGGATTAATTTACAGTTTCTAGATTCTTCACATATGAATAGAGATGTGGTTCATTTGAGTGTTGAGGGAGGTATGGTTAATTGTCTCAGAAATTCTAATCTTGGTCCAACAGACTAATATCCAATTACCATTACTACTTTAAATATCCACTAGAAGTGTTTGGTAGATCATATTTTACGTCACATCATCATCATTAAATTTCTCTACTTTTCCTAATTAAGCTGAAGGATTACATAGATAAGGTTATTAGAAAACCTCAAATTGTAAAGACAACTGCTGAGCATCTAATTTATATGTACAAGTTCCTATATTATTAAACGACCAAAATTATAAGCAGAATAGTTGCTGGGGGGGGAATATGGCTTAATTACAGTGTTAAGAATACAATATCAAGATAATATTATTTATTTTATTTACTGTACCTCATAGATAGTATACTATTTGAATAAAAGTCAAACACAACAATTGAGGCCGAATAAAGAATTCATTTTGTTTTGTGGTTTAACCTTCAACTACTCATAACTGTATTCGTATTAAAGTATAACATTAAGATACAATAATAATATAAAGTTACAAACGGAAAGAATTGGAGTAGCAATGGTTTTAAATATATATAGGCATGCGTGAGGTCATCCGAAGGTGGGATTCAGAAACATAGAGTGAGGCAGTAACTAAATGAAGTACAGAAACCGTTGGTGGATTTTAATTCTGTGAGCTGGATAGTTTGGTCGTGGAGCTCCATCAAAATCATCCACTTGAGCTATAAATCTTCTCCATCATTTCAAAATCATATGAGTGTATATAAGTATGAAGAAGTAGGCGAATGAAAATATAATTTTAACGTAGATGAAATAACAATTAGTTTAGCGAAGACTGAATGACTAAATAAATACAGTAATTGTAGATGATCTTGACAAAGATGTATTTACTAAGGCAGTATGATATGATAGAAACAAAAATCAATTTTCGATTGATTTACTCATGATGAGTTTTATTCAACATCCATTTTGATTCAACATGAGGATCATTCAGTGTAGTATTCGGTTTTGTTTCCCCGTATGATCTTTTTATTCTGTATAATAAACGATAATCTTGTATTCCATTGACATGAACTATGCTCAGTAAGTGATTTATTTTAACTGAGTATGTGATTTAATCCTAATTATTAATCAAAATGGGTGTAAAATCAATATGTAAATGAGTGTATTTTAGACTATTTTGATCATCATCATCGTCGTCATTGTGTTTCGAGCTAATCAATAATCACTTAAACCAGTCTTTGTGTTCTTACTTTCGCACCGTCGGTATTGCAGAAGTACCTCGTTCCGAGTATAAGTGATCAGCGGCTTTTTCCGGCACAACAATCGCGACGACCGAATATAACACAGTGGTAGATTGATATTTCTCTGTCTGTAAACAAATCCAGTTTGAACTCTTATATTTGTTATTGCTTCAGTGAAACATTATGAAGCTGCATTGCTTTTAAAGACTGGTAAATGTCAGTAATCTGGCTGCTACCAATTAGATGCCGAATAGTTGTAGTCTCGCATTCTTTGAAACGTGTTAGAGAATATATATATATATATATATATATATATATAAATGTAGTTGGAGGTACTGAGAGAAGAGGACTTGTCGACTTTTTTTTTAAGGGAGCAGTTTACTTCATATCAGTTGACTAACCTTGCTACTGAATGAGCGATCTTTATTGTGCCATTTATTTTGTCAATAATTGTTTCAGTAAATTCATCTTTATTAAAACGAAGATGTACAAAGCAAGCTTTCTTCTATGTTGTATCATATTTAAAAAAATCCATATGTTTTGACACACTTCTTAATGAATTAATGTGACCGCGTATTTTCACGTATAGAATTTTTTAAATAACTGTAGACCATTTTTCTATTCCGTTGCCAATATCTATAATTTTGTATTGTTATTATTATATCTCAATGTTACACTTTGATACGAATACGATTGTAGGCAACTGAAGAGAAAGCATGAAATAACATTAACTCATATTATACTGGTTCACTTATCATTTGGGCTTCATTGTATGGAGTTTATCAAGAATCACTTTCCTGTTAAGTATAATATTACTGAACATAACTTAAAAGAATTTATAGGAGCTTGAAGATCCTGTAACCGAAAGAGTTGAGTGTTATGAGGAACAGAGATTATATAGTTTATTGGATGTTTTACCATTCGTATCAAACAACCTCATCACTATTGGTGCGTTTCTTCAATAGAACGATTTTGTGAGTGTAGCTTGTCAAGTTTAAGTTTACTGAAAAACGTTAAGGGTTTATATTTGTTAGCTGTTATTAACACAGTTGTATATTTCATCTTTTTATTTCACATATGAGCGTATGTGGAAGCGATTTCCAAGAGTTTCTTACCGAATTTTTGTTCGTCTGTTATATTACCTGATTCGGGGGAAAATGTACTACTCAATTCACGAAATGTCATAGCAATACGTCGGATAGGTATATCTGAACGCCTAATTTCATGTTGCCATATATATCGTGCAGGTCCACTAACAACCACAAGGGAACGTCTGTCCAGCAGCACACGTACGCAAAACTACAAAATAAAAAAAACGTATATCAGGAAGGAAAAAAGTTCCTGAATATTATAATAAAGCTCATAAATTGCTTATAAAAATCTTCATAACCATTGTAATGAGGATAGTGTTGATTACTTCACAATTATATTACAGCCGATGTTATTTGAAGTAAACAACTTGGATCATGTTTGATATAAGGCTTAAACAACCAGTTTATTTAAGTAATCATTAACCTATTCTAGGTCTGCTAAGCCGGGAAAATTTCCGTAAGAGATGTTTAATCATGATAAAGACACTGATGATCATCAGTAGTTTCATTAATTCTTCTTATCACCGACGATTTACAGTTAGACTAACATCACGAAGGCGCGAAAATGACCTAGACTGGAATAAGCCGCTCTGGCTTTCACTATACGTGAATTAACCTCATTACTCACGCCACCACCAGAAACAACTCAGATACGCGAACTTCTTGACTGGTTATATCTGCTCACTACCCAGGCTGAGTGCAGGTTCAGGGTTCTGTCAGTCTTGTAAAAGTACTTTGCACTTGGTGCAGAACACATACCATAACTACCTGGGTATCATCGCACAGTAAGACAGTGTCATCTGCATACTCAAGGTCGAGAAGTCTTTCTCTAGTAAAAGATCCACACCACCATTACCTACGCCCATCAGAGCTGTTTCCAGAACGTCATCGATGGCAAAGTTGAAGAGCAATGGTGAGTGTGGGCAACCTTGTCTAACCCCACTGCTTGAATGGAACAATGGAGAGAGGTGGGTGTATGCCCTCACTCTGCCTGAGGTGTCTGTATATAGGGATTTTAGGATGTTAATAAACTTCTCAGGCACACCCTTCTTCAATAGACAGTACCAGAGAATAACCTTGTCCAACGAACCGAAGGCGGACCTAATGTCAAGAAAAACTACGATTGTTGGCTTGTGATAAGTATGACGGTGTTCTAACATTTGGCGGAGGGTGAAGATACGGTCAATACATCTTCGACCATAACAAAAAGCAGTTTGATACTTGCGAGTCAATCTTTCTCGGGATTTGAACATTCTACGAAGTGTGACGGATGCCAATAGTTTGGACGCGATCGGAAGTAGATCTATCCCTGTGATTGTTGCAGAAACGAAATGAACACTTTTTAAAAATAGAAACAACTATCGACTCATTCTATGATGTTGGAACACTCTCTAATTGCCAGATTATTGTAAACAAATCAGTCAGTTCCATAACCAAAAAGTCGACTTCCTCTTTGTTAGGTGGACCAGTCATCACGTTCGTTGGAGGGCAGAACAGTGTGATCGACGTCGCCGGGGCAGTAGACCGACTGAACGGCTCCTCGAAAAAACTCTGCCCATCGTCCGAGCTGTCAGTAGATGTTAGTGGCCAGAATTCCGTCATCACAGATTGTTTCACTCACACCAGACGTCTTGCTGCCAGTGAAAGAGCATCCGGCAGTTTTCAACTCGTTGGCACGCTCCAACCAACAGGCTTCTTGGTCCTTACACGAGGTTTGCACAATTCCATTACGACACAATCTTCGGCAATTGCCACACTCGCAGCCACCAGGAGCGGGACGTTTCGCGAAACCGCAAGCGACTTTACTCGCCATTTTCATTGCGTCACGCAATTGCAACCAGTGCTCATCTATACTTTTCGGTGGGATGATAGGTAGCCTTGAACCTAGCTCTGTTTGATATTTAATTGCAACAGAAGCAGCAATCAATTTTTGATATCGATCAGTTTAGGACGATGAATTTGTTTGCCACTGAATTGTAAGGTAAGATTAGCTCAAACAAGAGTATGATCAGAGTAGGTACTCCAAAAGGAGCAGTAGATAATCGACGTGTGACCAATCTGAGTCCAGGCTTGAGATGCAGAGGGAGGACGCCAGGTGGCACATCGGCAACGACTTTGCCACTAGTTAGTGCTAGCCAGAAACAGGTTACGGTCTACGAATAGTTGCAATAGACGGTCACCGTTATCTGATCTGCAACCAACAAGTCGCCATCGACCACCTAAACGACTCTCTCCTATGCCTAGACGTCCAACCTGAGCAAACATGTCCTCGGCTATTACTTTTATTTATTTATTTGAACACAAATATTGGTACGAAGGGGCACCGAATACATATATGCCGCGCAAGTCACTTGATTTGTGTGTGGACTGTGATACTGCCCGGGTACCTAGACCGAAGTAAATGTGTTTCTTTGGGGGCCACACCCCGAGCCTTCGACCTAAAGGTCTGATCCACTAGGCAGTGGAGCAACGTCAGGAGATGTAGTACGATGGTAACCGGTGACCGAACATGGGTACATTCGCCATTTGTTCCCTCAGGATCACATGTGCACCATTGTTTGGAATCAGAGTTTCCCAACTCCCCTAGGGGGATCCTCCATATCTACCAACCCGGTTAGGGCGCCAGACATTTGCTTTTCGTCCTCCCGACTTCGGAAACCGCCGCGAGAAGGCAGTCAGTAGGACTTCTCTGGCAGTGGCCGTGCGAGAGCATTTCAACAGGGAAAGCTAACTTTGCCCACCCTCGGCCGTACCAGTACCTATCGAACGCACTTCCTGTAGAACTGTTGACTGGTGGTAAGATGCATCCTTGATCGCATTCGGGCTGCAATCTGACGAAAATATATCGTTTCCCCCATAAATTCTTTCTCACTTTGACGTAGCTTTCTAATCTAACAGCACATAATCCACTGTTAATGGAGATCCAATCGATTAGCGTTGACTCAGCTCTAGTGGTCAGTGTGACACCAACCTCAGCAAAACTAAACGAAAATGCCATAGGGTCCCCGGATAGACGCACGTGAAACAGGCTTTTCGAAGCGACAGATGGAGAGCCAATCTGTTGTAATTCACTCGAGTCTTGAATACAGGCTTCAGACAGATAACAGACATCGATGTTAAGACTTTCTAAAGACATAACCAACCCTACATGTCCGATCTGTATTAGTGTGCGAACGTTGAATGGTATACGTGGTTTCAAAAAGACTGGTTCAGTATTCGTAGTCGGTGGTAGCATTTAATTGTCGACCAGTCAGTGACATGAGATCGTTTAGATAGGACAGAGTTTCCATCATATATGAGCTGCTGTACAAGTTGAAAAAATAAAAATGAATGTTATCAAATGATCGTGAATATGATTTGTCTGAATAAGAGTTGAAACAAGAAGAATTTTCTCAGTAGTAATGATCATTTGATTTGTGTGTGAGTTGGGATACTGCCCGGGTGCCCAAACCGAAACAAGTAGGCATATACCCAAACCTATAAAAACTGGCAACACACAACCATATATTTCAATCATAAAATGAGCCCCAGAATTTTTCAGAAAATTATTATGAAGGATAGAACTATAAGATTAATTATCGAAAATCTTGATCTTAAATAGATCTGAAATTCCAACGTTTAAATACTCTAAATATGTATGCAGATCAAAGCCTTGTAATATAAATCTCCCATAAGTGGAATATTCAATTTACTACGGTCAACTTATTATTCAAAATAATAAGCGTTAAACGTATGTAAAAGAAAAAGACATCACGATAACCGTTCAAACAACAGGTCACATAGTATTTTCCAAACTAATAATAATAATAATCGCCTGTTACTCCCAATGGAGCATAGGCCGCTGACCAGCATTCTCCAACCCACTCTGTCCTGGGCCTTCTTTTCTAGTTCCATCCAATTCTTGTTCATTTTTCTCATGTCTATCTCCATTTCTCGGCGTAATGTGTTCTTTGGTCTTCCTCTTTTCCTTTGGCCTTCAGGATTCCATGTGAGAGCTTGTCTTGTGACGCAGTTGGGTGCTTTCCTCAATGTGTGTCCTATCCACTCCCAGCGCTTCTTCCTGATTTCTTCCTCCGCTGGGATCTGGTTTGTTCTCTCCCACAGTAGGTTGTTGCTAATAGTGTCCGGCCAATGGATCTGAAGTATTTTGCGTAGACAATTGTTAATAAACACCTGTATTTTCTGGATGATGGCTTTCGTAGTTCTCCAGGTTTCTGCCCCATACAGTAGAACTGTCTTGACATTTGTATTGAAAATACTGACCTTGGTCTTGGTTGCCAATTGTTTTGAGTTTCAAATGTCCTTCAGTTGCAAATATGCTGCTCTTGCTTTGCTGATCCGCAGTTTCACATCTGCATCAGATCCATCGTGTTCATCAATGATGCTGCCCAAATATGTAAAGGTTTTAACATTTTCCAAATCGTCTCCGTCAACTTTGATTGGATTGGTGCATGCTGTGTTGTATCGGAGAATCTTGCTTTTCCCTTTGTATATATTGAGACCTACTGCTGCTGAGGCTGCTGCCACACTGTTTGTCTTCTCCTGCATCTGTTGTTGCGTTTGGGATAGAAGGGCCAGATAGTCTGTGAAATCTAGATCATCCAACTGCATCTTAGATGTCCATTGTATCCCGCGCTTCCCTTCAGACGTTGACGTCTTCATGATCCAGTCGATCACCAGGAGAAAGAGAAAGGGTGAGAGTAGGCAACCTTGCCTAACACCGGTCTTCACTTCGAACGACTTTGTCAACTGTCCTCCATGCACAATTTTGCAGTGTAATCCATCATATGAGTTCTGTATGATATTGACTATCTTCTGGGGCACGCCGTAGTGTCGAAGAAGTTTCCATAGTGTTGTTCTGTCCACGTTATCAAATGCCTTTTCGAAGTCAATGAAGTTGATGTAAAGTGATGAATTCCATTCAATTGATTGTTCCACAATGATCCGTAGAGTTGCGATTTGGTCTGTACACGATCTATCCTTACGGAATCCTGCCTGTTGGTCACGAAGTTGGGCGTCTTCGCAGTCCTTCATCCTGTTTAACAACACCCTGTTGAAGACTTTTCCCGGTATTGAGAGAAAAGTGATGCCCCTGTAGTTATCACAGTTGCTGAGATCGCCTTTCTTCGGTATTTTGATCAGAAGTCCTTCTTTCTAGTCTGTTGGTGATTACCTCGCCTTCCTTGCTTTTCACTGGTCGTTCTGGTTTGCGGCGATTTCCAGAGAGTTTCTTTGTCGTGTCATACAGTTGTTTCATGTTTCCTTCTCTTGCAGCCTTTTCCGCCGTCGTTGCTAAATCTTCCACATATTTACGTTTTTCGGTTCTGATGCTCCTCTTCACTTGTTTGTTTATTTCCGTGTATTCAGCTTGTGCCTTGGCTTTTTCTGCTCTTGTTCGACTGGTATTGATTGCTGCCTTCTTGTTCCTTCTTTCTTGAATCTTATCCAGTGTACCAACAGTGATCCATTTCTTGTGATGGTGCTTCTTGTGACCCAGGACCTCATGACATGTTGAAGTGATTGCCTCTTTGATCCCCTTCCAGTTGCTCTCCACAGTAGTTCCTTCTCCATTGAGTAGATCATGAAAGGCCTGGGACTTGTTGCTGAGGACTATCTTGAATTTGTTGAGTTTGTTAGTATCCTGGAGAAAGGCCGTATTGAACTTTTGTGATACTGTCTGCCCCGTTGTCCAGTGCTTCTTGAGTTTCAATTTCATCTTGGCGACCAGTAAGTGATGATCTGATGCTATATCAGCTCCTCTCTTGGTTCTCACGTCCTCTATAGTCCTCCTGAACGTTTTGTTGATGCAAATATGGTCGATTTGGTTTTGTGTAGAGTGATCCAGTGAAATCCATGTGGTTTTGTGTATGCGTTTATGTGGGAATATGATGCCGCCTATGACCAGCTTATTGAAGGCACAAAGATTTGCAAATCTCTCACCATTTTCGTTTCTTTCTCCCAGTCCATGTCGTCCCATGATGTCTTCATATCCAGTGTTGTCCGTCCCAACCTTGGCGTTGAAATCTCCCATCACAATGGTCAGGTCCTTTGTTGGGCACTTCTCGACGATTGACTGCAGCCTATTGTAGAATTGATCTTTAGCGTCTTCATTGTAGTCGTTGGTAGGCGCATAGCATTGGATGATGTTCATTGAAATACCCTCTTTCTTTGTTTTAAACGAGGCTTTGATGATCCTTGGTCCATGAGATTCCCATCCTGTAAGCGCATTTTGTGCTTGTTTGGACAGCATCAATGCAACTCCTTGTGTATGTGGTGCATTTTCTTCTTCATGGCCGGAGTATAACAGAAGCTCTCCTGAAGCTAGTCGTTGTTGTCCAACTTGCGTCCGATGTGTTTTATTGATCCCAAGCATCTCTAGGTTGTATTTTCTCATTTCTGCAGCAATTTGGAAGGCTCTCCCGGTGTCCCACATTGTACGAACATTCCATGTGCCTAAATAAATGGTCGCTCTGGTTGTCAGAAGGGGCATCGGCCTCGTAACTTCCGAAGGAATTCGGCTTTCATCTTGAGGCGTCGTAATTCTTCTAAATGAAGACCTGACTCCCAGGGCAGAGTTTAAAAGATTTGAATAATTTTTTCTGGTTAGCGTTTTTTTAGCGAGTTAGTTTTCTACGGGACGGGGACGCTAACCCCATACCCAACCCTCCTCCTTTATCCGGGCTTGGGACTGGCAGTAGCCCCCGGAGGAACTCCAGGCGGAGTTATGTTAAATAGATTTCTGTGCGTTGTTTGGAAGTTGAAACCACTGCTGGTGTGATATCTGAGTTACGAATCCTCGTAGACAAACACACAAAACAGCAAAACATGAATTTCGTCTTCTTTAGTACACGTCTGAACACAAGACTCAGGCACAGATGAATCCCTATCAGTACATCTTTACATTACAAAATAACATCACAGAGTACTAATTAAGGAGGCCACAAATAATCCAGTTTGGAGGTACTATTGAAAACACAGTAGACTTACTGAGCCCCGAGAAACATTCGGCACACACGATTGAACACGTTGAAATTCGTGGTTTATGCCATCCACCACGTCAGCTGTCGGTAATGTGAAAGTTAAATAAGTGGCACCACTCAAATTGACAGTCACCAATCGATCACCCCACAACCATGAATCATCATAGTGCGGTACAATACAAGCTCCACGATCTGATTTGTACTCCAGGTTGCACAACTCCACTGGGAGAAATTCAGGGCGAAGAGATTTGCTTTCTTTAATCAAATCATTGTAACGTGTTATGAGGAACCTAGAATATGCTGGCAGACCATCAAATCCTCCGATCTGCACCTTCTGTCGTTTGAAATTCACTTTTGGTCCATAATCCTAAAACAACATTTGGCAACAAACTCATATGAATAGACTGAATGTCAACATTTCAATGCAGTAACATCACACTAAGAAGAATATTGACAACATTGTTGGCTGAAACATAGCAGAACCTGTTGCGTGAACCCATCGACTTAACTAGCTGGCTTCGGAACCACAGACAGAGAGGAGATTAATAACGACAAAATGACACAATGAAGAGGTGATAAGAAGAACAGATGTAATTGTCAGAAGACGTGAAGAATTAACACTAATAAATATTCTGTTGAGGAGTAAGAACACAAAATTATCCTTAACCTTTATTACTTGCGAATTGCAAGAACCAATCAACTATGTTGGTCGAGAAGACATTGGAGTAGGAGTACATCAGAAGGAAGCTAAGAACAGTCTAACTAATCTGTACAAGCATTCACTGTTTGTGATTAGAAAAGCGCACTGAAGAAGTATGTAGAAATCCCGAAGTCGTTATATCCACAGACAACTGGTCGGATCACAGCTCAAGGCGAACTGTCAGCTTCAAGTGTTCATTAAGCTTACTTACTATCCCATTTCTCGAAAACCCATTTCGTAAGAGATGACCTCTTACAAGTCTCAATTTCTTCATGAAACTTTTGAATGATTGACCTCGTTTCTGAAAATGAAACAACCAACATGAATGGCACAGATGGAACAACACAAAGGATTGAAGACACTGACGCAATTCATAGCTGTTTGAAGACCATGAGCAATACCGTAGGCATCTTTTGGATGCGTTTTTCTTTCTAACAACAGGATTTTGCTTCACGATTGGCCTGTGTTATTGCCTAGACTGAAGATGTGGCACTACAGTAGTTGCGTCGATCACTTCAGTAGGACGTTTTATCAACCCGAGTGGATTGGCGTCTGACCAATCCTACAAATCGATCTAGAAATCCCACTTGGCTTTGATAAATTGCGTCACCTGTGTCGTAAGCAAAATACCCGGCTACAAACGAACGGACGAGTCTGTTGAGCAGGAATCCATGGTCCATGAAAGTAGAAGACATGTGTAAACCGCATACTGCGATCACAAGCGTCTTCAAAGCATTGACCGCGTATGTTGGAATCACAGAGTAAGCAGTATTGAGGTTGCCGAGAGTGGGGAGAGTCCGCTCTCCCTCTCGAAATACTCTCACACGGCCACGCGTATATAGCCTCTGCCAGGGAAGTCCTACTCACTGCCTTCTCGTGGCGGGGGTGCTGTTTACGAAACTGAGAGGACGAAAAGCGAATGTCCGGCGCTTTAACCGGACTTCAAACCAATGGTGCACACGGGCTCCAGTATCCTGAGTGGACAACTGGCGTATAAACCTATCGTTGGTCACCGGCTACCATGGGACTGCATCTCCTTACGATGCTCCACTGCCTTGTGGGTTAGACCTTTAGGTCGAAGGCTCGGGGAGTGGCCCCCTAAGAAAACCACCTGCTTCGGTCTGGGCATCCGGGCAGTATCGCAGCCCTCACACATATTGAATGAGATTTGTGTGGCGCATATGTATTTGGTGCCTCATTGTACTAATGTTTATATGTTAAAATAAATAAATAAATCATCTATCTGGGTCTGTGTAGACTACCTGGTTGAGGCCCCTACAATAACTGCCATTAGTGATTGAGTGATATGGCTCAGAATTAGCAGTCACAGTTGGGCAGATGCACTCATCCTTTATTTTCCCCCAGACTCCTAGTATCAGTATGCGTCCATGCATACCGTTCCATTCCCTCTACTCGGACCACATTGCGAATGTTTGTTTTAGAGTGTCATTTGACTTGTCAACTTCATCTCTCTGTGCTGATGTTGGATGGTAAGTTGGGTTACTGCACATTTATCCCAGGCTTTATGTTGATTATGACTGAGTCAATACACAAGAGAAATAAGACTCGACACCTACATTGAGTCGGTCAGTCAGCTACAACGTATGACCAGACACGTATATGCATCGGTCCAAGTTGCCATACTTCACCTACACTGAAGGAACACTAGCGTTGAGTAACGTAAACAATCTGTTAGAGATCTTATAAATTTATCACAACATGCTTCATTTCCACTAGCTATTTTACATAGCGCACTATTGCACTGCGAAAGTTTCACTAGCGGAAGTTCAACAGTTTTATCGAGGTCATCAACAAGGGTCACATTACGAGACTGGTCATTTTACTCTAGTTAGCAAGACAGAAAAGAAAAGGACAAAGTAGTCTCTTTCGGTTTATTGCAAAATATTAACATAGCGCACGAACGTATCACACAAATTTCTGAGTATTAACTTAAAGCATTGTAGACCGGAATGATGCTTTTCGCATTTATCGACAGTACCACAACACTCAACAAACGATGAATTAAAACGCCAATAATAATAATCAGTAACTAAGGATGTGATGAAACTTTATAATTGTATAAGTACGCTGCCAACTGACCATGAACGCTTCTTGCCTTCTCTAATTTGATTCCCTTCGTAAATAAACTAGGTATTGAACAAATATAGACCCACAGTTTTTATATACTTTATGAGGTGAGTTACAGTTGATCGGATCATCACAAGGGTAACTCCTTTCCTACAATATGGAAAGACAAATCAACTAGACTACCTATTTTAGGTAACATCTCAGTTATTCCAGACAACGGCTACTGAAGAAGATACAGGTGATCAATCAATGCCTACTGGATTTATTAAGTATGGAAATTTAAATTGATACATCCTTGTCTGAAGTACTAAGTTTACGTTTTTATCTAATTATCGTCTTTGCCTGATGGTAAGGCGTATTTTCCGCTACTTGTTCCTCACTTTCCAAAAACCCTTCGAAAAGACACATTCAGAAACGACTTATACTGATAATCAATGACTCCAAGGCTAACTTTTCCCCTGATTTAGTCATACTCCACCTTTTATTGACTAAATTACATTTTAGCTATAATTTTTATGTGTATATGATGATCTCACGCAAGTAAAATATAGTCTTCATTACAACATATATGAATTATGAACACGAAGCTAAATTTTACTTTCTTATTGTTGAAAGTCCTATTTCCCAGAATTAACGGCGTTTACAACTCGGCCATATAAAGCACAAAAGATCAAGTAATAACTATCAAGGCACCCCCTTCATATATTCGCACTTTAACATATATTTTACTCAGACAGGACACTACTAGTGCCATATATATGTAACGCTGAAGATTAATGATATATAGTGACCGAGATTTCGGTGACAAAATGGTAGAAATTTAGGATAAAATATACATACCTGTTTTCTCCTCCCGGATTGAGATAAAACCCATGTTTGTTTGTCGATCTCCTCGACCAACATTGTTTCTTCATTTTCGTCAACAAAATTTCGAATAACCTCGATGTTTAGGAAAGGAAAACCACCTTGATGGACATGAAACTCTTTTGACATGGTGTTTGTTTCAACGACTGCCATATCGCAAAAAGGACAAAATGTGAACTCGTAAAGCTGTCGTCCTTCCTGAACATCATAATTAGAAAACTTTATCGTACATTTTTGTGAACGTTTTCACTGTCACATATTGCACAACTCCGGATTCCCTTACATCCACATTTCCTTTCCGGTGATAAAATCTGAATTATGGAGGAAAAGCTCTATATTGTTATCTGAAACGATTAAGAAGTTTGTTGAAAGAGCATTAATTCTAGCGAGCATCCTTTAGACGGAAAACACACTACCTCGGACGAGCAGCATGTTAAATGAACTTTTTTTCTGACAAAATATTGCATCGCTACTGAAAATTACATAGACGTCCACTGAACTGGTATTAAGTATTTAAAGGCCTGTCGATACTTTTGTAAATACAAGTCACAACACATGCAGAAACTAGGTGTCCAAAGCACTCTAGTTGCACACATTATTCAGTTCGAGTAGCTGCTTAGTAGGACCAACCCTGACAACTGAAGTGTGGCATAAGGTCGAATACATGAGTCTACAAGTATGAATGTTCATAGCTAGTATGAGGATTTATAGTTTCAATAAAGAACCTTAGGAACCTACGCCGAATTTCAACAGATAAACTGCAAGCAAGAATCTCCCAAATGCTGGTGGTTTATGTGAAATTTTATCCAATGATGACTCTCCTGGCTATTACGTGAAATAGCAGGCAATGATGAGATATACTCCAAACAACTTAAGCAACAAGCCATGGATGGTATGGATTACTGGATCTTAACAGATATGTAAAACCAAATGCAGGTTTTACATTTGATTTTGAGCTAAACGCTTTCACTGAGCTAATGACGTCAGGCGACTAAATTAGAACTGCTTCAGGATTGGGTTACATCGACACCTGGACTAATGATAGGGAGTGAAGTAGTTGAACGTGTCGACCACTTCACTTATCTTCGAAGTCTCATCAGCCCTTGTGGTCTGGTGTGTGATGAAATCTCAGCACGGATACAGAAGGCTCGACTAGCTTTTGCCAACTTGCGTCATTTATGGCGTAGGCGAGATATCCATCTATCAACCAAAGGATGTGTTTACTGTGCAGCAGTTCGTTCCAGCCTACTTTATGGCAGTGAAACATGGCCGGTAAGAGTAGAGGATATTCGTAGGTTACTAGTATTCGATCATAGGTGTCTTCGAAACATTGCTCGTATATCCTGGGACCATCGAGTAAGTAACGCAGTTGTTAGGAAACGGGTACTAGGTAAGGATGGCAAATCCATTGATGAAGTGATGAAACTTCATCAGTTGAGATGGCTGGGACACGTGTTACGTATGCCCAACTACCGACTGCCTCGACGTGCTATGTTCAGTGGTATAGGAGTAGGTTGGAAGAAAGCTAGGGGTGGCCAGACCAAAACATGGCACAAATCCATGAAGTCACTGACAAGTGGACTGAGTCATGTTGGTAGGTGTAGACTACCTGGTTGGGGACCGCGAGATGAAAGCAACCGATGGTTAGAGACCTTGAATGACATGGCTCAAAATCGTTTGCAACGGTGCAGTTGCATCCACTCTTTGTGTTCTCCCAAATTCTTATCTTCCGATTTCTTCATGTCCCTTTCTTTTTTCTCTTTCCAAACTTATTTCACTGGATTATACTCCTTGAATAACATCTTCAAACCTTAATTTTTCTGATTACAGCTTATAATCTTACTACATCTAGCACTACGGGGTTTGAATCGACCACTGCATCTCTGTGCTAATGTGGTATGGCAACTCGAACTGATGTATGTATGTACGAAGTCCTACGTTGTTACTGACTGACTGACTAAATTAGAACCTCCCTACCAGTCTGTTCTCATAAATAATTAGTCCTGATTACCACGTCTGACCAAGTAAATATGCTGACCGACGTACACATTCGGTGGAACAAAATAAAAAGCTAAGAAAACTACCACAGCCTTTGCAATCCACAGTGTTGTGCAGGCCTGATTTCACACTGAAGACGTCAATAACTTTTGCTGATATCACAAAATCTGCCACGAAATTCCTAATGAAAATGACATTGTGAGGCAAGGGAGCATCCATGTGATTATTTTTTGTCCTGGAAATATCTCAGACGATCACAAACAAAACATAATTACACCGAAATGAACATGTGGAAAATTATTACAAAAGAACGCGTTAACTTAACACAACATTGAGAAGAGAAGTTAAAACATGGAAGTCATTCGTTTCAAGAAATAAGTAAACAATTATACAGTCATAGCCCACTTCCCTCGGACCCATTTTAATTTTGCTGTATTTTCAGACAAAAATTACTGTTTGTACCCCATAATTCAAATATCAGTCAGTCAGCTACAACGTAGGACCAGGCACATATATGCATTGGTCCAAGTTGCCATACCTCATTAGCACAACAAGATGAACACCGAATTCATGGAATTAATATATAAAGGAAAGATTGTATATAAGGACATAGTACAGGAAGAAATAGTTCATAGAAAGAAAAATATGAAGCAATTTTCATCTCATAGTTTAAATGAGGTTCTACATATAAATATATGTGCTAGGGCGACGATTATTATGGGGGCATAGAGTTTCTAGACAATGATGGAGAATACCTGTAGCTTAGTTGGATGATTTCGGCTAGAGGTATATTCTTTGAGCTGGATGACGTGATCGTAGAGCTTTTATTGTTCTTTATAACAACATCATCAGGACAAACTTCGGATAGAGGTGGAGTACTCGAATACTTTCTCTCCGAAGAAGCAAGAAGAACGTTTATTGGGTGGGAATCTCATGACTTCAGTACCATCAAAGTATACTTGGAAAGAAATGAAGGATTACCGTGAGCGTCACCCAGTGCTATACATTCACCAATCACAACAGCCAATATGATAAAGATTAGTTCCCTAAAATGCTCCTGTCCACTGCACAGGACTGTCCAGGGAATGGCTTGACCATCCTTCTATAGAACCTAGATACCAAAGTCGGGATGGAAAAGATTGAGTTCCAACTCGTTATAGGACGAAATTAACGAGAATGTTGAGATCAGCAAACCTGCGTGTTTACGGGAACATGGTTATAGGTGACATCATGATGTTGGAGTGAACTTCCAACAGCACAAATGCATACACGAAGGTACTCGGAATACTAAAATTATCACTTGTTTATCAAGGAACATTATGATACGACCATATCATATTTTCATGCTGGCCTATTAATCGACTGATAAGCCAGCCCCGAGCTCTCAATTTCGGAGAAAATTTTACCCATTTTGGGGAAGCTGCTATAGTAAACTTTGGGGAAATGACACTAAAACCCCAAATTTTCCCCAGACCTGAGGACATCCCCAACATATTCCTCCTTAACCTCGGTCAAGGTTATTCGATTTTGGGGATTTCACCAAAGCTTCCCCAAACATTGGCGAAAGTCATCTGACTTCGGGAGTTTCCCCAAAATATCCCCAAACTTGGGAGTTCGGGGCATGCAAATATAGGAAACCAGGAAAAGCACTACAGGACAATGAGGGAAATCATTCATTGTTTAAAAGCATCCTAAGATCGTCCGGCCGTATGGGAAGGTTGCACTTGCATATTGATATAACCATGAATTATTATTCTAACTGATATCGCCATATGGCGCTATCATCGGATATTTAGGCGGAAAGTCGGTTATCTATCGACAAAGCGGCCAAAAAGGAGGAAATCCACAGTATTTCCCCCGGAGAGGCGGCATTCTGATGCGTTTACCCCTTTATTTCCTTTTTCGCTGCCAAAGCACTTACCCCTTTATTTCCCTTTTTTGGTTGCTTGGGGCGATGAAATATAGATTACATGTCTGTTGATGTGAATCCTCTTAATGAAAAACCCGAATTCCTTCACTTTTTAGCTTGCAACAATTCAAGCAGAAAATATTTTCTCAAACTCCAAATCACCTATGGCTCACCATTATGGATACAATCGTGCTAATCACTTCGACCTTGAAGATAAACCTATTATGAAACAACCGCCTTGAGTTAGTCAACCAGAATTATGATGACTCTTCGAGGGGAATTTAAAGTATAGCAATTGGAAACTTTATTGTTATCATAAACTAAGTAGACATTGGTAATATCCCGTCCGTAACGGTTAATGAATCTTAAAATAAATACTTCCGTAAGTCTTGGAAATCGATGTCGACTTTATCACATTTATTGGTTTCACTCTACTTGAAGGCGCTCGGTCACATAGCTGCACCAAATTACGATCGAGTACGACGTACCATGCATCTTAAACGTTTTCGCCTATCAGTATTATTTATCTACATAACGTTGAAACGGACACCAAAACCTTTGAAAATCAAAAATCTTACACCCCACCTTTCAAAACATGTAATTCTGGTCTGGTAATATCAAACCCTAGCTCTACTACCTAGAATCTCACCTACACGAGCACAGTGTGGTAGATCCACGAGCGTTATTCCTCGCCGTAGGGAAGTCATTACCGAGCGATCTCAAAGGTTACGTTACACTTAGTATGTTTACTAGTTACTTGGCGGAATCTTATAGCACAGCAAACTAGGCTATTTTTAGACGTAGACCTAGTAGACTGACAAAATGTAGACCACATATCCTACAGTAGTACATTATAACACGATTCAGCAACAAGTGTTGCTATGTATACAGTAGTTCATTGCTCAATGGGCTTTCGATGATGGCCTGTTTTGACATTTCATATATGAGGTTTCCTAGAAGGTAAAAGTAGTTCTTATCCTACTCCAAAGTTACGACGTAAACGAACTGAATGCATTTGTCGACTGAGTTCTGGCGATCACCGGAACACTCAACACTGAGGTCTGTTTCGTCAATGAAAGGCCTCAAAAGACAAAAAATGGCATTGCAAATGTCTGCAATAAATTTACTTTTCTTTACATTCACTACGACCACAGACTCTACAAAGCTCCCTCTAGAAGCCCTTCACTGCAAAGATCGGTTTCTAAACCACGGGATACAGATAGCCGGGGTTGGCGCTGGTGCCATAACAAGTAGTGTAATTCTTCCAGAACTTTCGAGAAACAATGTAGTTTCCCCAACATCAAAACTTCCGGCACGCGATAATAGCATCTGTAGCCGATTTACATTTTCATCTCCTGTCCACCACTGATGTGAAGAAAGTTTGTAATCTATTGGACACTGACACCAATGTTAGCGCTTTTATCTTGAATACTAATGACCGTCTACAAGATTTGATCTTCAACTTTCATGAGACAAAAGGAAAACCGACTACTGTATGCGGCAAAATATACGTTTACTCTAATGTGGGTTTACGCAGAAATATTCGACAGATTTTCATTACCACAGATTTTTTACATCAATCATTGTTCAAGACCTCTTAATACAACATAATCCACTTATCGACACATAGAAACTTAGGTTAAAAGGCGGAAATTCTGAAATATCTGTCTGTAGGACCTCGTTTTCTGGCTTTAGGTTACGCCAAGTCACGGTTAGTCGCAACCGATACCCGACTTATGCCTCAAAATGAACAAAACACGACAACAATCACTGTGAGCATCCAGCGATCCTTTTCAGCATATCACTACTGCAGAACCACCCGTATTTTCGAAAGGGCGCCAACACAGCCCTAGAAATGTTAGGGCTGGTCAAAACGAGTTCGAGTACGTAGTGAAATTGGAATAATCCGGCCGTCAAACAGACGTTGGGTATCTCCTCTGCACATGGTTGCTAAAAAGTAAGGAAATGATAGGTGTCTAAAT